ATGAAAGAGCATGGTGGTTAGAAGCATAGATTGTGAGACCAGACTATCTAAAGCCAAACCCTGAGGCTCTCAGTCCTATCTGTGTGACTTGGGAAAAGTGTTTTAACCTCTCTGTGTTTCATTTCCTCATCTGTAAAACACAGATAATTATAGGACTTACTTCAAAAGGTTATTGTGAAGATTAAATGAGATAGTTTACATAAAGTCCGAGAACAGTATCTGACTCATAGAGTTATAGAAATAATAGCTATCGGAATTATTATTATTGTTTTACTATTTTGGCCACTGAAGAAGAGGAAACAATAGTTAGCCATGAATTTCATAAAATATTTTGTTAACACTAAATAGATAATGGTAATGTCACTGGGAATTTGCAATATAAGTTGTAAGTAAGAATTCTTGAAACCCAAGAGACTTACTATAATAACAGCCCCAAATTAAACTATCTTCTCAAAATCTACAGGTTTGGGGTAAGAGATGAGGGTATTTATGGTCAGTGGGAAAGTAAAAGTATCATGAAGATTTCATATTTGTCAGGTGGAGGAGCTACTAAGTAATGTTTCTTGGTTATGGAGTATGGCTTCTAAGGGTGAACTATAACTACTTACAGAACTAAAAACATAGTAGAGCTTCCTAATCAACAAGGGGGAGGGGGGAATGCAATAAAAATAAATTTAAACCATATTTGCAAAATAAGGAGAAAAAAATTATAAAGTATCTAGAAAGGAATGAAAAGGAAAATGTTTTATTCTAAAACTTGAGAGGCACATCAACCCTGTATTTAGGGGGTAGGGAGAAATATAACCTTGTGTTTTTATTCATTTAAAAATGCAGAAAAATAAATAAAGTATTTAACTTAAAAAGTGATTAAAAGGTCAACATAAGTAAAAAGACTATAGGAAGAGATGCTTAATAAAAGGAAATATGAAATTAATGAAACAGAAGGAAAACAATAACAAAAGAAAGGATAGAATGAAGAAAAGCTGATCTTTTAAAAGATCAATGAAACACATCAGCACCTGGAAGCCTGATTAAAAAATGAGAAAACACAAAAATATAGACTACTGAGAAGGAAAAAGGGAATAAAACTAGTCTTACAGAAGAGAGTAAGAGAATGAATAGAGAATATGAATGTGTCATAAATTATGGTACATTCACGTTGTACAATACTAAGTAACTAGTTAAAAAAGCATGAGTTTAAATTGAAGGTCTATGATTTACTGTTAAGTGAGAAACACAGCCATGGAATAGAGCATGAAATGTGTCCCCATTTCTGTAAAACCAAGCAAGCACTTCACCACCCATACATGTGAGTAGATGAGCCTAGGAAGGTGCCAGAAGAGAATACCCGGTGTTCACAGTGGCTGCCTTGGGAGTCTGAGGGAAACTAAACTTTTTCTCTACATTATCTCTGATGTGTTAACTGGTTACAGTGGACATCACTTCACAATTTTAAAATAATTGTGTGACTTCTGGTAAGATGGCGGAATAGACAGACACTGTGCTGACTGCCTCCCAGGATCACACCAAAATTACAAATAATTTATAAGATATTCAACCTCGGAAGTTCCCTGGACCCTAGATGAGCAGAACCTCTACACGAAGGACTTAAAGAGGAGGCCACGTCAGTCTGGTAGGAGGGGCAGAGACGAGAGAGGGCGAACCCTGTGAGGGACATCTCAGTAGTCGGGAGGCTTCTCCAGTTGGGGGCGAGGCCCTCTGGCCCCACACCGCGCTCTCCACCCCAGAGTTACTTTGCTGGGAAGAGGAGTTCTATGATAGCTGGAAGTAGAAAATAGTGAAGACTCTCTTTGCTCAACTTGGTGAGGCTGAGGGCAGCTGGAGAACCAGTGGAGCCAGCAAACCGACTTGCTCTCTGGTGATCTAATACATC